CCCCCCCCCCCCAAGAAGACAATGCAAGACCGTTTTCAAAACCGCAGCAGAGCCTCTCCTGACACCAAGTCTCCCGCAAAATAAAACAGACCAGCCCTTGCCATCGGCGCCGTTGCCGACTGCGGCCGCATGCTGCCCGCCATCATCTTCATCTTCATCTGGTCGACCGTCGTGTACGACCCCATCGCCTACTGGACGTGGAACGCAAACGGCTGGCTGTACAAGCTGCCGGCGTACGACTTCGCGGGCGGCGGCCCGGTGCACATCGCCTCGGGCACCTGCGCGCTCGCGTACAGCGTCATGCTCGGCAAGCGGACGGGCTACTCCAGGACGCAGGGCCTCCCCTACCGCCCTCACAGCGTGACCAACGTCGTCCTCGGCACCGTCTTCCTCTGGGTGGGCTGGTTCGGGTTCAACGGCGGCTCCGCGCTGGCCATGAACCTCCGCGCCGTCATGGCCTGCTACGTGTCCAACCTGGCCGCCTCGTGCGGCGGCATCGTCTGGGTCCTGCTCGACTACCGCCTCGAGAGGAAGTGGAGCACCATTGGCTTCTGCTCCGGCGCCATCTCGGGCCTCGTCGCCATCACGCCCGCCGCGGGCTTCGTCGCCCCCTGGGGCGCCGTCATCATCGGCGTCTGCGGCGGCGCCTGCTGCAACTTTGCCACCAAGCTCAAGTTCCTGACGGGCGTCGACGACGCCCTCGACATCTTTGCCGTCCACGGCATCGGCGGCATGGTCGGCAACGTCCTCACCGGCATTTTTGGAGCGTAAGTCGCTCTTGACCTGCGCCTCTTCCCCTCGTCACTAAAACGCATCTTATAGGTCGTATATTGCTGGCCTCGACGGCACCACGTACTCTCCTATCGGCTGGATCGAACACAACTGGGTCCAGCTGGGCTACCAGCTCGCCGGCATTTGTGCGGCGTTTGGCTGGTCCTTTGTACTGACCTGCATCATCCTGTTCCTCATGAACCTCGTCCCCGGCTTGAGTCTCCGCGTCTCTGCTGCCGAGGAAGACGTCGGCATCGACGACGCTCAACTTGGCGAATTTGCCTACGACTACGTCGAGTTGACGCGTCACGTAGCGGACTCCTCCTCTCTCGGATCCATGTCGTCTAGCAGTTCTACCCACGAGAAGACTACTCCGAGATTGTCTAAACAGTCCGCGGCACTTTGAAGATCGTTTATATGTTGGGATTTCGGAAAATGATGTCAGAGTGTTCGTTTTTGTTTCTTTGGATAGCCTGCATTGATACCATTTAGAGAGAACAATCATGCTTGAAGTTGATACTCTGCCAAAGGTCCTTTGTAAATGACGGCCAATGATTGCTACTCAAAATATGGAGACACGGACCGGCCCGGCAGAACCAATAATAGTAGCCAGTAGCCAACTACTTGATGTGACAAATAACGACAAGTCTACTGGTTTCCATCAATGTCAAGGGACTCAACAAAAGTCAGCTAGAAATGCGGTCTAGTATCCATTCTATTTCGGCCCTGTGAGCGTTAATATACGTCTAGCTCGAGATGTAGATGAAATTTCGTTTGACAGTGTAAAATAATTCATTTTAATTCAACAGCGCCGATGCAAATGCTCTAGTTCCTACATCGATCCTCAACTACAGCGTCGCTCCTTCATAAAGCCAATTTTAACCATGTGGTATACCTGAGTCGTTGTATTCATAACATTCGTCCCTCCCAAGAAACGCAATGAACTCCGCTTGTGCAGCTGGAAAAGAAATGATGCCTCTGTCGGATCCTCGCGTCGCCATTCTTAAGTTAATTATAGTTGACTGGTGGATGACTAATGTCTGCTCGTTCAAATGATTGGGGATGTTCCCTCCTCTTGTTCGGGTTTGGCCAAAAATCTACTTTTCAAGTGAAAAACACAGTGTTTTTTGCTGCCACCTTTTCCGCAAAGACCCATGTCATTCAAACTGCTAAAATAGTGAATCATTGCTCCTCGTCATCTGGAGGTTGCTGGTGCAGAGGAGCTGTGCTAGCTCCAATCCCATTCGCAAGACCACTTGCAGAGGATGTTCTCGCCCGTTGAGGAATTGGGTGCGACGTCAAATTGGCTATACTTGCCTGTGCCCGCCCATTAGCGCTAAGTGGTGGGTTACCAGTCGCTGATTCGTTGGTGATGAAGCTAGAAAATGCCAAGGGTCCCACTAAAGCCGCGTACTGCTGTTCCAAACTTGGAATCGCCGGGTGAGCATGACTAGCCGAAGCAAAAGGATACTGCATGATTCCAGGTGCAGGCGGCGGCGGTGGTGGTACTGGAATCGATGGCGCGGAAGACGCAAGTGCAGCAGGAATATGCGGTGGATTCTGAGCCGCTGGGTCAACCGCCATGTCGGTTCCTTCGAGGCCCTCAAAGTCATTCTCTTCATCAGGCATTTCGTCGTCAAAGCCTTCGCCTTCAGCGGCGTTGAGATAGTTGGCCATAGCTTGTGAACGTCTAGCAGCCGCACCCCTGATCCGACTGCCCCCGGTCCGGTATGGCAGGCTTTCACGGAGCTCTGCGAATTGCGATGAGGTGTTGAGGAAGTCACGGAACTGGGAGACCATACTGCCGGAAAAGACACAAAAGACGTCGCGCTGGTGCTGAGTAAATTCTATTTCCAAATGTTAGGATCAAAATAAAAGAAGAGCAAAAAAGTCTACCACGACCAAATTCTGTACACTTACCAGCCGGCGCAACTCTGCAGTACGCTTGGAAATCATCCCGTTGAAAAGCAGCAACGCCAGTCAAACTAAGGTGAGTGAGTCTCGGGCATGAGTTGAGCAGCCTCATAATACTCTGGCCTTTGTTAGAACTGAAAATGAGTGGAATGCAAAAGATCATAAGCATGAAAAAGACTCACCTTTAGTGTCAAATTAATACAATAGCTCAGATGGACTCGCTCCAGGCTAGGTGTGTAGTATTCCCCTCCGATAAACACGCCGCTAGCATCTCTCCGTACTCTGGGCCGATAAGCCGCTTCAGCCAACGCAAAGACGGATTCATCGGTGATGGAACTGCACTTCACAAGACCAATTCTCTTTAGTTTTGGGAGCAACGCTAATCGCTTTACGGAGTCGTCCGTCAAGTTTGTGCAACAACCCAAATCGATATATCTTATACGATTGCAACTCTGTACGAGCTTCTTGACACCCTCGTCAGTAATTTGGCCGCAATGGCCTAAATGGACGTAGTGAAGGTTCTTGCCAAGCCTCGAGATGGCGTGTACGGCGGCATCCGTAATATTGCGGCACTTGGCAAGGACCAAGTTGCGAAGGCGAGGGGCAACATCGATAATTTTCTCCACGGCGGCATCAGTAAGGCGTGTGCAGGAAGTCAAGTCGAGGATTCGGAGATGTTCATAGGTCCGCACTCGCTTGTCGGGAAGTTTTAAAAATGCACCATCGTCGATGAGCTCGCAGCTGGCAAGCCGGAGCTCTCGCAAGCAGGTTCCTCTGAATAAGAGGGACGTAACTGGAGCGTTGCCAATATGCATACATTGGTGGAGATCGATTTCGAGAATGTTGGGGCATAGTTCCGCAAAGGCGAGAATAGCATTGTCGCGAAGTTGTACACATTCGTTTAGTTTCAGCTAGAAAGAAGAAGAGAAAGAAATCATAACGTTAGCCAACGACGGCTTCCAGAGCAGTAAGTGACGTTGTGTGGGATCATGGCATACTCTTTTGATGTATTTACAGCTTTGCGCAAGGTTAATCATACTCTCATTGGAGATGCCGTCACAGCCGGAGATGTTGAGGCCTTGGAGCCTCTTGCAGTTTTGGGCAATAGTATTGATAGACTGCTCAGTGATGTTCTTGTCGTTGGAAATATCCAAAGCCAGCAGCGACGGGCTATTCTCAACCAGAGCGATCAGACCAGAGTCGGTCAAGCCCCGGCAGTTTGTCAGCGTCAACCTCTCGACCCTGGTGCAGGCGGCCAAGGGCAAGACGCTTCCATCGTTGACCTTGTCAGCAAGGGCGGCGAGGTTCAATCGCTTTATGAAGTCGCGGTAGCTAAAGAAAGGGCGCTCAAGACCCAGGGTCTGGCAGATGCTGCTGTGATTTCTCCAGTTGGTGCAGGCAGGGCGGTGCCACAACAGATCAACGGCGTTGCGAGCCCATCGCTTGGATACGAGCATACAGTGATACAGGTCTGATGTGGCGCCGAGCTTGGCGAAGATGCTGATGAGGATCTCGTTGGGTAGCCTGTTGATGGGCGGCCAGCAGGAGTCCTCGACCTGCATGTCCTGGAAGTTGGGGACGCCCAAGGATGACTCGGAGTCGTTGGCGCCAAGAAAGAAATCGGACTCTTCGTTGTCGGCAGGAACGGGTGAGGCAGTAGATGACGACGAGCGGGAGTCGTCCTGTTCATCGGGGACAGCGCCGGCCCTGGTAGCCATCATGTTGGCGGGCGCGGCCGAGGGAATCATGGCGATGGTGGAAATGCGAAGCCTTCCCCTGATGCCTGGCTGCTTTGTAGCTGCGGGGCAGGGTGAAGCTGAAGGCGCCCAGTCAGCCTCCCTCGAGCAGTTGGGTAGCCAGGAATCAAGATGAGGCGCAGACAGCCGGGACACACAGCCTGGGCCTGACGAGAGGCCGACGGCTGCGGAGGTTGCGGTCGGATCGATGCGTTGATGTAATCGGCTTGGCGGCACGGCGATGCAGCAGGCGGTGCGGGAGGTGGTGAAGGAGATGGGAGACAAGGAAGAGAAGAAGCCCGTTGACAAGACCAGTTGGGGGTAAAGTTGGGGGGGGCGCCAGACACGCCAGAACCTTCAAACGGCCAAGACTGGGGCTGCAGCGCTTCGGTCAAGTCGCTCTCGATCAATGTCAAATAACTACTTGAAAGCTCGCACAAGTCAACGTGCAGGTGTGTCACAGCACTTGAGTCAGCGATGACTATACGGAATAACCAGTTGATGTTGCTTCGATTTTCAAATGGTATTTGAACAGCAGGCACCAGCGGACCCGTCAAAGCGATCACGGGTGGTGCTTGCAGATCTCTCGGTCTCTTCCCTTGGGAGGTGTTGGAAGCCGGCAGAGTTGGAGGCGACCAAACACGAGGCGACCGGACATGGAGTGCTGGGTGGTCAGCGGCTTGACGGCCAGGCGTTGATGGTGCACGTCACCCGCGAGCCGCAGCGTCGTGGCGCTGGAACGCAGCCGAGACCCAGCGGGAAATCCGGCGGGACTCAGTGGTCATCGACCAGACGGTTTACGGTTTCGAAACTGGCGCAGGGCACTGGTCATGCTACTAGTACGGAGTACCTAACTACTACGGAGTACTCCGTAGGTAGTCCCTAGACTGTACATGTAGTAGGGTGCATCCAGGGTTTGCCCATGCCATCAACAGACGTCTTGACATGCAGACAATGAATGCCGCAACCGCCATCACGAGTTGGAGAACGGCTGTCTCGAGATCAACCAGCCATTCATCCTCTCCTCTGTTGATGAGGCCGACGGCTCCTTTCCGAGTATCGAGTAGCCCTGCTCCGTACCGTCTCAGCAAAATGAACAGCCAACGTAGTCTTGATTACATGCTGTTTCATCAACCAGCGGCGACTCCATACCCGGCTCCCCGATCCAAGTGCCCGTCCAAATAAAGACTGATTGTTCCATTTTAGTGTTATTCCTGGTAGCGGCGCCTTCGCACGGGCATTGCCACGAGCCTTCAATATTCAGATCCCACTATGCCCCTGGCCTTGACACCAGCACGGACATGCCAGTTATGCTAAACCGTCATGGCTCATGAGACACCAAGGTTTGTGGCTTTTCGAACATTTCCCCCGTTAGGAGCTCTGACTCTCCGCTCTTTCTAGCCACCATGCTGACCAACTTTTCGAACAAAGGCTACCATTCAGCTGCTCCCCCAGAATGTCACACGGCATCAGCACGTGACACCCTGACGTGATCTTTGCGACTTGAAATTCTCATCTACGCTTGCTGGAACACGCCATTCACTACTACTCTAGTCACTGCTTTATCAGTGGTTGCAATGATGTTGATTCACGCAAGACCGCAGCAACCCCTTCTCGCCCCGTAGCACAGGTCATAAGCATCAATGGTGTAGGGATCGCGCATTTGGCGTTGTAGAATAAAAGCCCTGTGTTATCACTAATAATCTACCTCACGGGACTTTTTTGGAATTAGATCTCGTATTCCTCGCTGAGGAACACTGACTACATGCAAAGTTCTTCCAGGCTGTTCAGCAGGTATCGTCTTTTACTATGAACTCAACATCTACCGTTCTTATTGCTTTTCAAAAAACACAACTTTGCTCGAATATCCGGCCTCAAAATTGTACGAGACGCCTCGATTCATGAGAGTTGCACCGGACACCGTTTGAACGCCATCTACCTTGTACATGGCTTTGGCGTCCAGTCCTTGGAGACGCACCACCGGCCAATAGTTGTTAATGGTGGGTTTGAGTTGAAAGTAGAATAGTACAGCTTGTTCCCCGTCCTCAGAGATGAATAATGCCGCAGGATAGTCAGATTCTTCCGGTAGACGAAGACGCCACATGTCCCCTTTGACAACAATGGGATTTACCTTCTCAGCAAGCTTTATGAGGTCTGGAACCTTGGCCTTGTCCTGCTCTGGCATGTGTGACGGATCCAGCTCGAGACCGAATGAACCACCCATCATGGCGACATGGGCTCTAAACTCGATTGTTTCGTTTCGTCCGCTTTGGCTGTTTGGCGTCGCAGATACATGTGCTCCCATGGCGGATGGCGGATACACCAGTGAGGTCCCGAACTGAATATAAATGCGCTCTACTGCGTCAGTGTCGTCAGAAGTCCAGATCTGCGGGAAGTATTGAAGCACGCCGGGATCAAATCTTCCTCCTCCTGAAGCGCAGCCTTCCCAGATCACATCCGGGAACCGTTCTGTGAGCCTGGCAAAGACCTTGTACAGCCCAAGCATATACTGATGGTCGGTGTGTGGCGTCGGTGTTTCGTGGATGCCACGATTGTTGTCCCACTTGACATAGGCAATATTAGAGCTCTTGAGGATATTGGACACCGCGTCGACAATAAAATCTTGAACTTTGGGCAACGCCACATTAAGCACCAGTTGGTTCCTTGTTAACGAGCGAGGGTATTTGCCAGCGTGAAGAGCCCAATCGGGATGCTCTTCATACAGACTTGAGTCTGGGTTCACCATTTCAGGCTCAAACCACAGGCCGAATCTGAGCTTTGTAGACGAGTTGCCAACAGGTAGTGCGGTGACCTTGTCAACCAACGCCTCAAGTCCATCGGGGAACCGCTTGGGGTTGACTTCCCAGTCTCCGAGCCCGGCATTATCAGATATGCGAGGATGCTTTACGCCAAACCAGCCGTCATCCAACACGAAGAGCTTGGCCCCGAGCTCAGCGCTCTGCTGTGCAAGTCGATAAATCGTGCTGGCGTTGTAGTTGAACCCAAGGCCCTCCCAGCTATTCAGGAGAACAGGACGTGTCTCGGTAGCGTACTTGCTCTTCATCAGGTGTTGACGATAGAGGCTATGCAGTTTGCGTGACATGCCGCCGATACCGGTGCTTGAGAATATCGCAACGCATTCAGGAGACTGCAGTGACTCGCCGGGTCCAAGTGGCCATGCAAGCTGGGATGGGTTAAATCCAAGCATGGCCCTTGTAAGGCCCTGGGAGCTCTTTTCAACCTCGGCAGAAAATGATCCAGTGTAAACTAGAGAAAATCCATACGCTTCACCGTGAGACTCAGTGGTAGCTCCAGAAACCACCGAGAGGAAAGGATTGTATAAGTGAGACGAGTATCCGGTTGTACTGCCAAAGCTACCCAGGACATGTCAGCATACAAAACAAAGGGATTCTCGGCTAGAGTCCTTCTCACCCCTGGATGCCAAAATCGATCTTTCGACGGATCCTCATACCCTCTCGAGCCCAATCGCCCTTGAGCTCCAGCATATCGTAGTCGCCCCACGGCAGATCAACGCTGAAGCTTGCCAGTTTCTCGATGGTGATGTTGCCTTCGCCGCTGTTCGTGATGTTGACACTGCGAACAATGGCGTCATATTTGGGGAAGATTGAATAACCGAGATCTGCTGCCACAGAGCTGTAATTGTCATACAGGTGTACGACCAGCGTGGAAACGTCCTCGTCTTTCCCAAAGGTGGACGGCAGGCCGTTGAGCGCAGGTTTTCCCTCAAGAACCGTATGCCCCTGATACTGGAAATCACTGACCGTATACCCCTCTGATTGCCGAATCTGCACCACAGGCGTTCGGAAATCGCCCCGGCCAAGGTCAGGCAGCTCTCGCCGCACGCGGCCGATCATATCAACCCAGCCTTGAACGGGTCCAATTTCAGCCTCAATGGTGTCGCTCTCGACCGGTCCACCAAAATGGTCTCCAATCAGGTCTCCCGTGGTAGTGTCAACATGAAAACGATATGAAACATTGTCACCATTGAGGGCGAAGGTAGTTCCGTCAACCTCGATTGCTACAGGCATCATCAGCTTCTGGTCCGAGAACGAGCTGCGGGAACCTACGTTTTTGGGAACCACCCTGAGCACTCGCAGCCGACGCCATGCCAGCGACCAGGAGCAAGACAGTCAACCTACAAAGAGCCGGCACTTGTCCCATGATTGCTTCTGCCACCAACTGTAGTTGGGTATGGGCCTTTTCATGGGAAGCCGTACAAGATAACACAGACACAAATCTGGGGCCAAAGTCGAGGCAGAGTGTAGACATTATATACTACGCAGGTCCTCACCTGACTGTCATTTTCTATGCTCAGCGCCGGCAGCGGGGGAAACCAAGACCAAGAATTCTCCGCATCGTCCTCACTAGGGTCTCGTCCGGCGAGGATATTTTGGTGGCTAAATTCGGCCGTCTTTTGGCTAGATGCAGGTCAAGTGGCTACTCCAACGAATAAGCACCGTGCTCAGCTACACGCTGGTATAAATCCAGCATCACCGATACCGTCGTCGTATAAGTAAGTGGCTCTTGGTCGGCCCGGACTCCGGGTCAACTGGTGAGAGAAGTGTATGGGGTAACTTAGAATGCCCCAGGTGCCACCAGTTGACTCCGCTTCAGATGCAAGCCAAGATCTGCGGAAGGCGGATTTGAAAAGCTTTGATTGGCTGCGAGGCTCATGCGGGGAGCCACTCCGCTGTCCTCGATATGAATTCGGCATTTTGGGCTTCTGCGACGACTCTGCACTTCCGTCGGTGGTTTTGGAGCTGGTCGGAGTTGACTCCTATTTGCGCGCTTCAATGCTGTCAATCCGTGGACGGAGGCTTGTCGGCGTAATGGAGGATGGTCAGGTCGATAGCTTCGGTGGGTGTAACGCTTCGCTCGCCACGACACCTCTGCGGCCAGCCAGAGTCTGTCGAGCTGGCGGAGCACCCAGTGCCCACGAAACTGCACAATAAGGGATACGAAACCATGGGAGCCCATCGTGCACTGTATATTGAGCCAGTTGCTGTCATTTGAATGTAAAATAGCTTGTGTAATGACGCCAAGAGAGCCCCCAGCGCTCAATCAAGCCACCAGCTCCAAGTCAATTGGCCAGTCCCACCAATCGAACCACTACGTCACAAATTTCTCCCTCATCACGCAACAACTCTTATTGCGTCCAGACCACAGCCCGTAGCCACCTCATGGCCCGTCCGCAGTGCTAACTCGACTGCTCGATTCATCACCAACATCATAGTCCATCCGCAATGCTTCGCCCATCACGGCTCGCCCGGCCAGTCGCCCGCGCATCAGCCCGTCCAGCCCTCCCGCCGACCACCAGCCGCGCCCTTCTCTCACAGAGAGCATCTACCCGCGCCACCCAAGACTTCGACCTCAACAAGCTCAATAACAAACGCCGCGACTATGAAAGGAACCGCACCGCTTTCCTGGCCGCCGGCGCCATTGCCGGAATCATGTCCTTCATCTACACGGCATGGAAGCTGAAGAAGGCGCTCGACGTCCAAAGTGAAAAGGACAAAATCGCAGTGAAATGCGACGCCCCCATCCCGACCGAGGCGTTCAAGACGGAGGCCGGCGAGAAACGCAAGGTTGTTCTCCATGACGAAGAAGGGAGGGAGATTGTTCCCACCGGATACAGCGTTGTTCCGGCGTTTCCTCGCACCATGGACCTCGACCTTCCGGGCGCTTCAACCGCAGACGGACCTGTAGCGGCATCCGTGTCGAATAATGCCGGCGTGGAGTACACACTTGTTGGACTGGGCATGAGGACAGTTACATTCATTGGTATCCAGGTCTACCTGGTGGGGTTCTACGTCGCCACGCAAGACATCGAGCGCTTGCAGCATTACCTCGTCAAGAAGATCAACCCTCTCGCCACCACGCTGATTCCGTCTGAAAAGGACGCCCTGCGCAAAGCGCTCCGCGATGCCGCCGAGGGCGAACAAACCTGGGATTCCATCCTGCGGGAAGCCGGGTGCCGCACGGCGTTTCGGATTGTGCCCGTCCGCGATACCGACTTCCACCATTTGAGAGATGGATTCGTACGAGCTATTCAGGCTCGCTCCGGGCGCGACAATGCTTATGGCGACGAGGCGTTTGGTGCAGCCATGAAAGAATTCAAGATGTTGTTTAACCGCGGGCAGGTTCCAAAGAGGAAGGAGCTCTTGTTGTCGCGCGACGCGAACGGCACATTGGCGGTCCTGTATGGTGAAGGGGGTCATAAGCAGCAAACTGGTAGGAGCTTGATGGGCACCATCTCTGAGGAGAGACTGTCCAGGCTGCTGTGGTTGAATTACCTGGCAGGGGACAAGGTTGCCTCTGAGGGAGCTCGGGATAATATCATCGAGGGAATTATGGAGTTTGTAGAGCGACCCGTTGGCACCGTTGCTACACAGATTTTGTAGACGTCGTCCTGACGGGCGGTCACTGGAGGGCATACGAGATGAAAGGTCACTTGTGTACTAGACGCACAACTACATCGTGCTATGAAAAACAGTTGATATCCACTCGGGCGAAATGGCCAATGTGTAGTTATTATTCCACACGTATTGAGTCATCAAAACAGAAACGTCTCTGAAACAAAAAGATATTGTCATAATCCGTACAGATGTCGGGTTGCAGATCTATGCGTCTACCGTCTATCAAAGCCTCGCTCTGAATAGATTGGACAAAAACCCGAGACAAATCAGCCGTTGTCTTGTTTCTATGTATATATTTTTTTATGATTTTGAGCAGAAAAGGAACACAATTTCGAAATCCAAATGGCTCTTTTTTACGCCTTGAGCGCGCCACAGTCCTTCAACAACCCCTCCAGCTTGCCGGAGTTGTTGAGGCTCAGGACGTCAGAGTTGCCGCCAATGTGCTTTTGGTTGATGTGGACGTTGGGAACGGTGCGCTGGCCGGTGATATCCTCGAGGGCATCTTGCAAGGCGGCGCCGTCGGCTGCAAGGCACCTTTGTTAGTTTTTCCTGTCTATAGAAGAAATTGGGGAAAGAGGGGGCGGCGGCGGCACAACGACGTACTGATCTGGTCAAGCTCGAGAGCCTTGAACTCGGCGCCGAGCTTCTTGAGGGTTTCCTTGGTGGCGCGGCAGTACGGGCAATAGGACTTGGAGAAGACGACTGTCGAAAACACGTCAGCGAATATACTGTAACCCGGTTGTTTGCGGTTGCGACGGGCGCCAAGTGTGTTGGCCTAGATGAGGAAAACTTACCGACGGCGTTCTCGTCAATGAGCTTCTGGACCTTGGTGCTTGCTTGGGCCATGGCTGCGGGACTGCGGCGTGCTGCGGACGTAGAGAAGAAGGATCGAAAAATGTTGAACATGAGATGTTGTTGCTGCAAGGCGAGAGTGGAAATGGACTATAGTTATAACTGCTGGTGACGGGCGGGACCCGGATCTGAAAAAGCTGTGGTACAAGAGGGGAGAGGGGCAACTCAGGGACGCCGAGAGATTTGTCAGGACCGGCCATTTGATGTACGAGATGGAATCCGCGGCGATGGGATTGGTAAATGGTTGACGCTAGGAGTGACGGGTGGGGCGCTTGGGGGCGATGGACCGATGATGCAATGCCGTCGAGTGTGGCTGGAATTTGGTGTTCTTCGGTTTAAAATGTTCTTTAGGATGTGCTGTCGGACATGCAGTGAGACTGGACCTGGGCGGTGCCGGTTGGTGGCCTTTGCAGATTTAGCAACATTGAAGTGACCAATTGACACGCACCCGGGTGAGAAGCTGTCACTGCAATCTCGGTGAAGATTCCAAAATTCTATGATCCAGCAATGATGAACGGGTGCTTTAAGGGAACGCTCGGAGAGCAGCACGCTGTGACCCAGAGGAACGAGAATTTACTACAGTGGTCATGATCAGATTCAGCGTGTGAATCAATAGTCGTTTAGGTCTCCCATGATGTGACGTATCACTACACAAGCTTCCGCCTTAGTATCGCCCATCGTTCTGACCGATTTGCATGATAATTTCATCTCTGCCGTCACCCCGTAAGCATACGTCAATACGTCACGAATCATGGAAGAGAACACATGGCGGAGGGGTTTATTCAGTCATGGAAATATTGCTTGTCTCTCCACTCTACCCAACAATGACGTTTGTCGCACGAGAGTACACCAGATCACAACCATTGACAACTGCCATGACCTCATCCTCCCCCTAAACCATTGCCATATTGAAGGAGTAATCATGTATTTCGTGTCAAAAGCTTCTACAAAGTATAATGGGCTCGGCAACTCTCCGAGACATTGTGGTTTTTCCCCGAGTACGGGGTATGGGGAGACTAGAATACAGGGTAACTACTCCGTAGTAGCCGCCGCTATCCGACAGATGTTGAAACAAAACAAACCATCACTGCAAGTCATCTCACTCATATCATAGTAGAAGTGCCTTTTGGGGCATAGCTAGTTACATTTTGTATGCACTTTCTCATAGCCTTACAAAGTCTTTTTGGTGCATTGAGCGTTTCTACCTCCAGCCTTACGTGCTGCTGACCGCTTGTCATCACCTGACTTTGGACCCTAGCTCAAGCCTCCTCATCCTCCCCCCTTGTCAGCCCAAACCTTAATGCCAGGGTTCGATCTCATCTATTCGAACATTCTTTCCAGGAACGTCGCATCCATCACCTCCTACACAGCGCACAGCGAATCTTCAGAATCGTGCAGAAAGCCATTCAACCGGGGAAGTGCCCCATTTAGGAAACATCTCCAGTCGCGCGCCAAGCCGCCGACATTGAACAACTTCACGCTGCCAACAAGAAAAAAGCGGCTCCCAGCACTGTCAACTGACGAACTGCGGTCGCGGTCGCCAGTATCGCCAGTGCCAGACACCTTTCGCATTCTACCAAAAATACCAGGCCTCCCGTTATAGTCTCATACCAATCCTCGACTCGACCCATCTGTTGAAACCAAGGAAGAGGTGTCCTTTATAGGGCTATCCTCACCAACCGACGACAAGGTGGATTCCAGCCAGAGTATCGCGGCATCCTCTGGTGCCCTCCAAAACCTGACCTCGTACCTGAACGGCACGCTGGTCAACCTCTCTACTGCCTTCCAGGGATCGAACGAATATATTTCGGAGACCTTGGGTGTCCCCCCTGGCCTTGTGTATAGCGGCCTCGCTGCTCTTGTTGCCCTGCCTCTCACCATGTCGAGATATGGCTGGTCTCTCAGCCGCGAGCAGAGCTCTCCGTACAGCTCCATGGCGGGCGGCGTCCCTGCCGTGACGGACGAAGACTTTAGCTACATCACATCGCAAGACCTGGAAGATCATTCCTACCTCGGAACAAGACCCGGTGGTCCTCCGCCAGAGGATGACGTACTACTTATCAAAAATAAGGGTGTAACATACCCTGCGCATTTCCCGGCATATTCCATCGGAGACGGAAAGCTACGTGTGAAGGATGTGCGGGAGCGCGTCGGCCTTATGATGGAGTTGTCTCAGAGTGCAACTCGCCGCATCAAGCTTCTTTACAAAGGCCGCCAGCTTAAAGAGCCGGCTGCCCCTGTGCGGGACTACGAAGTGAAAAATAACAGCGAGTTGTTGGCTGTTCTTCCAGACATCCAAGACGAGAGCAGCCCGTCCGAAGAGGAAATGGTCATTGTCAACGACAACCAGTCAGGCCGTCGCAAGAAGAAGCGATCCAAGAAGAAGGGGGCCAAGGCCGGTGGTGACTCTGCCAGCAGTCCTCGTGGTAGCACATCTAACGTCGAAGCTAGTTCACCTACTGGTGCCGGTCCAATGAAGAAGCTCGACGAGTTGTCCGAGGAATTTACCAAGAACTGGCTCCCTCTCTGTGACAACTTCATTGCGTCACCGCCAAGTGACCCCAAGAAGCGTGAGGATGAGCACAGAAAGTATTCCGAGTCGCTTCTGCAGATTATTCTACTGAAACTGGATGCTGTGGACACGGAAGGGATCCCAGAAGTCAGAGCGAGAAGAAAGGAATTGGTGAAGAAGGTTCAAGAAACACTGAAAGCTTTAGATGCGGCAAAGGCTTCTTAGAGCAGCATGACGGCTCATAGCTATTCGTCTTTATGAAGTCAGGTTTATGAAGACAGACATGAGAGTAGACATGAGAGTTAGACTTGATTGGCGTTGGGAACCCTTTTGACTTTGAGGACCAGAATTGCATTATACAAGGCTGGCGGAAAGAAGCGCATGGCATGGCATGGATTTTTGCATTAGTGCGTGTTGCGGAGCTTCTGTAATAGTAGGGTCAAGTCGATTTCGGCAAGATATATGATCGTGTGATGTGATCGTGTGATGTGTGGCGGAAGCTCTTCTTCAATATGTATGGTTAATCGTTCGCAGCCTTTATAGTCATGACGTTGGATAGATTCTCAAGAATTCTCTCTTCGCGCAATGAATGACTTTATTGGCGAAGTTGATGTTGTTATTTATTATAATGTACGGAGTATCAGGGTGTTGGTCAATGAGCACTGAGGTTGTATGCTCCTGCCGATACTCAGTGTATGGATGCATGTACTATGTCACTGACCTCCTCAAGCCCAAGTTCCTCGGGGCTTTCCCCGGTTCCACCGCCCGTTGTAACTACCTTTAAGTAGGTAGTACTTCCACTCTGCTCAAAAATTCAAGACGTGATTGGCCCCGAACTCTTTGAACTGTTTTGGTAGAAGATGGTACGGGTCATCTGACTGGACAGAGCCGGCAAGCCGGCAAAATTTCGGCAAGGGCACAATAGGTCTCGCAGCCCTAAACAGAGTCGCCTCTGTGAGCGGTGTTCGCTTGTCCCCAAAAACCACTTAACCCCATTCGGTTAGCGTCAGTTGGTGCAAAATCACAACGAGCCCTCAAGCGGAACTTGGATTTTCTCGCCAGTCAATCACTATCGCGACCACTTCATCAACATCCCAGGGACGACTAACCCACAGCAGTCACAGCAACAGATTCTCGCCGGTTCGGTTGGAGGATTTGTGTGTCTTCGTCGTCGTCTGAGCAGTCGCCTTCCTTTCTTTTCTCTCAGTCACCAAAAGGAGAGTCGGTAACGATGTCGTCATTCGAGCCGGTTGTGAGTAGAACACCAACCACTACTATGTGTATCCTGTGTCCGGAACAGTTCGAGAGGCGTGGTGAGGGACTCGATGATGGATGCATGCGCAGGCACACTTGGATGCGAACTGGGAGGAATAGTTCCGGGATGGGTGTGTCTGTTGCACCGCGATCAAACTTCGAGACTCTGGGAATCACCTCAATCGAATGCTGGATGCCTTGGGAGCATGATGAATGGACATTTGGAGGCTGACTGGGCTGCTTATATTAGGTTGTCATCGATGGCAAGGGCCACTTGCTGGGCCGTCTTGCCAGCATTGTTGCCAAGCAGCTCCTCAACGGCCAGAAGATCGTCGTTGTCCGCTGCGAGGCTCTCAACATCTCGGGAGAGTTCTTCCGCGCTAAGCGTACGTGAACAGTCCTTGCACAATCCAAAAAAACTCTACGTCCTCGCCGAAGCTGGTTGAGCCTGTCGCATCTATCAGAACAGAAGCCGATGAGATAGTTTTGAGATGACTAATTATCGCACAGTCAAGTACCACGCCTATCTGCGCAAGATGACCCGATACAACCCCACCCGCGGTGGTGAGTTTCAGCCCTTCTTGAGCAATTAGTGGTGCAATTCGTCCTGATTATCGAAAATCTAGGTCCCTTCCACTTCCGCGCTCCCTCCCGAATCTTCTACAAGGCCGTCCGTGGCATGATCCCCCACAAGACCGCTCGAGGTGCTGCTGCCATGGAGCGCCTCAAGGTCTTCGAGGGTGTCCCTCCCCCCTATGACACCAAGAAGAAGATGGTCGTTCCCCAGGCCCTGCGTGTTCTTCGCCTGCAGCCTGGCCGCAAGTACTGCACTGTCGGCCGTCTGAGCCACGAGGTTGGCTGGAAGTACCAGGATGTTGTTGCCCGGTACGTCTACACTGGAATTTCCATTGCCAAGGCGCGGTATACTGACAAGAGACACAGATTGGAGGAGCGGAGAAAGGCCAAGGGTGCTGCCTACTACGAGCGCAAGAAGGTTGCTGCTCGACAACTGTCCGATGCCAAGAAGAACGCTACTGTCAAGGCCGAGACGGCGAAGGCCCTTGCGGCTTATGGCTACTAGACCCAGCCATGTTTCTATACCCTCTGACCATACCATGACGACAGTGGTCTAGGCGGGAACAACACTTCGCATTGTCTTTGTCGTTTCTCGTGCGGTTCATTAGATTGGCGCGGCGGTTCACAAACGGATTACACTTGATTTGCTGAGTGATGGCAAGGGAATGGTAAAGCTATAGGGAAAGGTGGCGGATGGTTGTTCTAAATGTTCTACATGGAATATTGCTCGTCGAATGGAAAGACCAAAAAGACCGATGCCCAAAACAAATAAAGCACAGAAACCAAAAGACTCTTCCAGCATCTCTTTTATGCCAAACGGTACACATTTTACATGTTGCGTGAGGAATTACTTGTTGATGTGGAAGGAGTCTTTCATTTGGCTTTTTTTTGCCAGTGTTTTTATTTGACCATTTGGGTAAAGGCAAAAAACGCAGGACCGAGGAATAACGCTGCTTTTCATTTTTTCCCGTGCTTTTCAAGCCCAAGGAAGCCAATCTTGAAATTTCCAAGATGGAGTCCATGATGATAAACGTTGGGGGAGTGCTTGGAGGAGGGCATGGAAGATGGATTATGTTGACTCTCTTCTCTCGTGCCCGGGCTGAAGGGGTTTCTAGCATTTTGCACCATAGGAGTAGAAAAGGGAATGGTACTGTTTTGCATTGACAATTGATGAATTTGCGATTGTGGTATTTTAATTTCACTCGACGACATCGGTGGCCCAGTTGCCTTGACGGTCATTCGGTGATGTCACAAGAGGTGTGTGCAGTCGTGCGCTGTGTGCATCACCAACAGGGCTCGTTCCACGCTGGCTTTCGTCAGCCTCTCCCAACATTTTCAAAGTCTACGCATATAATCCCGAAAGCATGATAAACAATAACACCAACTATAGTAAGTTGTCGTCCTCGAGATACATTGCTTCACTCATCCAAAGGTTAGACTTTATCCATCCTTTGGTTATTTTTCCATCGCCAAAGCATGGTACAACCTAGGGTAGGTGGGCAACGTGTTTGCCCCCCGCAGTCATGTGCTTCGAGTTCCGAACCAGCAACTTGAAACTTGTCCTTCTAGAGCCCACCCGTCGCTGGCGAAATAAGCAACATCCTCCGATGACACTGCCAAATTCCCACGACTCCCTCCCCTGCCGCTAGGTTCTTCCTCCTGGAGCTGAGAAACAGCAACAACAACCGTCGATTCATACACTCCTCTGCCAAGGACCCAAAACCACACACACATACGCGCCCACAATGGCAGACCTCGACCACTTCGACCTCCTCCCCATACACATGGACGCCCAGTCCAAGGCCATCAAGGCAACCAAGCAGTCGCGCGCCCTCAACGCCGAGCTCGAGGCCCTCAACACCCTCCACCGCGCGCTCCTCAACGTCGACAGCTCCTCCAACGGCGTCCCCCCGCCGCCCATCCCCGTCAACCCCAAGCGCACCGGGCAGGTCAACAAGCTCCGCGACAACGGCAACGCCGAGTACCGCAAGGGCAAGTACGCCGACGCAGTGCGCCTGTACTCGCTCGGGATCCAGATGGCGCTGCAGCGGCCGCTCTGGGAGCCCGCCGCCCTGGTGAGGGAGGAAGTGTCGGGCCTGCTGGCAAACAGGGCCCAGGCGCACATGGCGACGCAGAACTGGCCCGAGGGGGCGGTGGACGCCGAGGCAAGCGTCGAGGCGAGACGCGTGGGCAACGCAAAGGCCTGGTGGAGGAGGGGCAAGTGTCTCATGGAGATGGGCAGGCTGGAGGAGGCAAGGGACTGGGTGAGGCAGGGGCTGGAGGTGGAGGGCGAGGAGGGCGAGTTGGTGTCGCTGCTGAAGGAGATTGAGGCACTGGTTGAGAAGCGCAAGGCTCGCTAGAAGGACGAAATTCTGCCATGAGACGGCGGTGGTTTTTTTTTTTACATTCTGGAGGAGACAGAGGGCGGGGGGGCCGGCGCTGTTGGAGAATAAGGATTTGGTTCCTTGGCCACGATACCAACTATCTGCGCGGCCAGAGAGACATCTTCAAGATACACAGGACGTCGGAAGCCTAGGTAAAGGGCAGGAAGACACACCATCTGAAATTGCTTGGGGAGAAAAAGAAGGCAGGAATGTAAGACGTACTGCAACATTCGGCGCATAGGATTTGCATATCATTAAACTAAACTGTTTTCGTCTTTTACGGCGTTTTGATGATTTCCACATTGAGCAAGTTGTCTATCAAATATTCATCATGCGAGCCAAATATCTTTTAAATTTCAATGTCTAGGAGCCTGTCTTGCCATCTCAACCTGGTGCTTTAGTATGGATAGAACTCGGTATGGTACAGCGTCCTCCGCAAAACCCTACACAAGCCAACAACAAATTTTACAACGTCACCGAGCACTCCGTGCTTATTTGCTGACATGGAGACTTCTTTTCCTTTTTTGTCTGTCGTCATTTTCTTTTGCTTGGAGTCTGGGCACTCCGCTTTCTAATGCTGGACAGCGCTTTGTCGTCGGACCACTTTTGAAGTAGTACCTCTGCGGATACCCTTGTTTTTGATGAACCAGGAGGACGTGCACGAACGACGAGGCGTAATCAAGAGATCGTTGGAAGTTAACCTAGTCCCAAGCATGCCAAGTACTTAAGTAAGTAGACGTAGAGTAACTAAGTGGACCACCAAGCCCTAGGAATGCCTGTCCTAATGCGGCAGCCTCCGGGTGCTACGCAGAGTGTAGTAATGGCGCTTACTGTCAGAGGCCCTACACACATGGTAAACGCAGCACACAATGGCGGTGTAGATGGGAAATCATCGTGGCCGAAATTTATTCTGTTTCTTTTTAACACCCTAATTTCACTCCTTTGTTGGATATCCCCAAAAACCTGTCGAGAAAGATGCCCAAAACAAACAGAAAACAAACAAGTGTGAAGAGGAAAAAGAGAAAAAAACGATTAATACAAAGGGATAACCGAGGAAGCATGAGCCCATCCAAGCCGTCCCTCGTCGCTCTAGTCGTCACAACACAATAGCCTGTTTTTGGGACAAGCCCTAGTGCATTTCAAAGACAATCATGCATGACGAAAAGAAGAAATAACGCTTAAAATTCCGCCGTTGATTCGTCTCACTGATCTCGTTCATCAATGGACGGCGACTTGTCGGTTCTTTTAGTCCCGCTGCTTTGCCATGGGCTTTACCCGCTTATTTGTCGACGATTCGCCCGGGACTAGCGGGGGCTGGTCAAGCCGTTAACCGGAGAGCTGGTGCATGCTGAAATACCGGCAAACTTTCGTCGAAAATAAAATTTGATATGTCTCGACTAAAAAAAAAAACCTTCGTTGTGTTGTTTAAGTCGACGTATAGCTGCAATGACGGCGACCTTTCATCTTGAAGTAGCGTGTTCTTTGATAGGGCCAATTCGCCTCTGCTGTCGACGTGTCGTCCGCCTCGAATCCATAAGATCGTTCCAGTATTGTCTTTCAAAGTAAAAAGTCGAGGATTTATGTTCTCTTGCTTAGTGCCGCCTTCTCACTCATGGTAACGCTGAGGGAGACGTTGCGGCGCGGGCGCATAACAGCATCCTGTCCACTCATGCGTCGCCCCAAGGCACGGTCGAGTTTGGCACCCAGAGCCAACTTGCTCATATTGTCTGTCTTCTCGTCACTGAGCACGACCCGCTGCGAGGACAATGCCTTATTCTCCATGCGGTCGAGGTTCAAGGCAATATCGCGGATCTCAGCCTGGGCCGAGTCAGAGGTCTGGACAGTAGGTGAAAAGGACGGCGCCATGCTGTAGGTGCTGAAACGCACGGAAGTTCTAGCCTGACGTCGAGACATGATTTTGTTAGTTTACGCGGAAGTTTTGACTGATTTGATAAGCGCAACAGATGAAGAGTAGAAATAGCGAGTAAATGGAATGTGGAAGAGGGTGGTGACTGCCAATTGGGGGGAAATTGTCAACCATATAACAAAGTACTTGAGAAATTCATGCTTTGGTAAGGTTGGGTTTCACATGGGTTTCTGGGGCGGGAATGCAAGGCACGCACGAACCAGAGTGCGGCGTCGAGCCTTTTATGGGCTGGGTATTTCTTTTTGGTGTTGATGTTGGCGAATCACGCAAAAGGAAATAAAGGCGACAGTGAAAAGGGAGAGCAAGACAGGCAGTAAAAGAGAAGCAAATCAAGGCATTTTGTCAAAAGCCGAAGAAGCGGAAAACCAGAACAAAAACATACCGACGGGGCCATGATGGGGCGCGACGAGTCGAGAGAGGCGGGCATTCTGGCAAATCGAAGACGGCCGCAAAGTGGTGAATTCGAGAAGTGGATACGGAGTACAGAATGCAACACGACGCGAGCACCTCGTACGTGGGTGGAATTTATCGAATAGAGGTTGAAAGGAGCGGCAGTTTCCAGAGCTGACAACCAGGCACCAGGCCTGAGACTGGGAGAGAGACGAGCGGGGGGCCCTGATGGAATGCAGCGGTGGTCCGCGTGGGAGGGTGCGAGAAATCGGTGGCGCTTTCGACAGGCTCGACTCGAAGTTTTGAATGCTGGGTCAATGTTGGTTGGAATGAGGTGGTAGACTGGTCTGATCAAGGAGCGGGCAAGACAACAGGGACACCTAGTCGCGGCTTGGCTGGTCGTCTGGCTCGGACTGGACACTACACCTGAGGCAGATCAACAAAGCGCAGTCGGATCAGGGGCGGCGAGGTGTATCAGGATTCAGGACGTAGGTCACCGGGATGGATGCAGCGACGAAGGAGAGGGCAATCAGACGGGAAGAGACGAGACGAGACGAGGCTAGGCGGAAGCGAGCGCGGACAATACTATTAAAGAAGTCCAGAATAGGAGCCGGGCAAGCCACGAGGGAGGCGGCAGGAGGAGAGGAGGAGGCATGTACAAATTATGAACATTGAACCGCAAGTCCAGCTCAATGCAGTAATGTAAGCGGCCAGAGTCGAGAGCTTGGGGAAGAGCGCCAGGCAGGGGGGCCTGCAGAAGGGTGGATTGACCACCCGCACGATAGAATTGTGAAATGAGGGTGCAAGGAACAGCGGACAAGGGTGCTTTTGGCATCATGACTCCGTAGTTGCTATGGAGTACTAGTAAGTACGTACGTGATTCCGGGCCAAAAGGATGGCCAACATTCTCTACGGTAATACTCCGTAGATGGGTTGGGCGAGCACGAGTGGGACTTGACAGGTGGTATCAATTGACAGGTTTAGTTCCAGTTACAGTTAGTTGACAGTTTGAACAATAGGGGCAGAGCAAACAGTTCAAATGTTGCCTCTTTGTGCTAGTTTGCGAACATGGTGCGCCATTGCCGTACGGAATTCACTAGCAGCCGTTGCAATACTTGAGGAGGGAGCAGCCAACAGGTGGACCATTCGTGTGCCAACCTTGAAAAGGCGGGCGAAGCAGCCTTGTACAAATGCAAATGTCAACGGTCGCACACAAATGCAAATGCAAGTGCAATGCACTGCGGCTGCCGTGTGTCCAATAGTTCATTGTTCGTACATACAGTAACTTACCCTGTCCGTTTGCTCCTTCCGCGGTAGTCAACACAATCCACGGACATGTCATGTGATGCCTTCGGTTTCGTCAGCTTGACCTTGGACCTGAAAAAGGAGCATTAGTTGTGGATGCTTTCAGTCTTGCCCGTCGCAGGTTCCATCATGCCATGTCTGACGGCAGAACATTAATATTAACCACTCCATCCTCCCTTCAGACGCACGGCCAGCCATGACTGCCACGTGAATTGATGTGAGACATGGGACGTGGGGGCATGAGACATTTCGCTGGACCACGCGGGCATCCCCTCTGCCTGCAGCTTCATACTGTACATTATGCAACGCTGCCACCATCATGGATGTTCACACTTCTTGGCTACCGTGAATGGCTGGGTTCACACGTGGCCGCGTTGACTTGTCCGGTCAGCCCGAGGCCGTCCGCCATGCCGTGGGTTGGGCATGTTTGGCGACATGGACAATGATAGCATCAACGATATGGCAATCCGGAATTACGGAACCTAATATCACGATATTAATTGAAGCGAAGGATAAGACCTTCCTCGTTTTTCCTTAATAGGGTATGCTGATAAAATCGCTTTTGCATAACGGATTAATTGCCTTGAAGCAGCTAACCTTTCGACGCTTTGGACCAGAAGACATATTGTGCACCGCCCTTCTTCGCATTCCCAAAGAAACGAAACCAACGAGCGTCAGCGCACATGCGCCATTGCAACCGCATTTTTTCTCTCCATGCGGGTTGATGGCTCTTTCACCCCTTGCTTCCAATCGCTACCAATTGGACTCGCCCTCAGTTTTCCTCTATCCAGCTCGCGAGTTAGCCATGCCGTCACCGCATAGTTACATCCTACTCAAGTTGACGTACCTACTACTGCGCACTCATCACAACACATGTGGTCGCAAGTACAGTCTGCTTCTTCCTTCTCGTTCTCATCATCGCTGCCTAGCTTCCGTCGCAAGCGTATCACTGGCTGGTTGCACCAACCCAGTTGATTTGGACCCCGATGACATTTGCAGCACACCCAGTTTCCTCCTTTGGCCTTGAACTTGCATTCTGACAACGGGCACCCGGATTTCAACTCCCGGACGTAGGTGCCAAACGTGACGTTGTCGCAGCGCATTGACTCTCCTGTCATTGTGTTGAATGTTGCAGAACGACAATAGTTCCATAGCAGGGAAGTGTGGCCACAAGGGTGAGCTCGAGGGTGTCCGCTGCACATTTTTCTGGACGTATTCACACCTGTATGTGGTGCGTGTCGAATGACGAAAGAGAGGTTCCAATTATAAATAGGTTGACGTGCTTGAATACTGTTGCTTCTAGATCAAACCCGGGGACAGAACTTGGCCATGCTTGGCTTTATATTTATAATAT